AACAAGACATAGTGCACAATAAAAATTAAACTTTATTTAGGAACATCGCGCATACTCCCCGACAGCCTGCCTGTTTCGCTCTGCTCGCTACTCGTAAGAAATTTCTCCTCTAGGGTTGCCACACTTATCGGAGGGCGCAAGGCGCGCTCCTTATCGCCATCACCACATCTCAAAACAAATTGCAGAAATTTTAACCAAAGTTGAAATGAAAACTATAGAATCCGCAGCACATTAAATAATTTAGTTCCTGAGCTAGATTCACACGAATGTAATAATTTTTTAGCTGTTGCAAAAGCGGAAGTGCAAATAGTAATTTTCTGTCGCACATACTTGCAAACACCAACTCAGATCGACCTTGAACTCGCTGTAATGCTTAATTCCTAAACGGTAATTCACTGATGATTTCCTTTTCACTAGGCATTCGAACTTCTCAATTTATCGAGATATTACTTTCAATCTGTAAACACTACGCGTGATTATTTTTTGAAGCACTTGCAAAACACCACAGCAGAAGAATGATCTGTTATTTTTTAAACACTGAAAAAACAAACTTGATGATTCACTTCTTTCACATTATCTTGGATTTATCACAAAACGATGATTTGAAGAGCTGAATTAAATTTTCCATTGAGGTTTCAGGCTGCAGGAAACTATCCTGCCGGCTTAATTGTCATAATAAAAGCAAAGGAAAGGACGGAACACTGTAGATGCGTGATTAGACCCATATTGAAGAAGAATTTTGATTGCGTAGTATGCTAGTAATGCTAACTTGGTAATATCTAAAGAATTTGGCAGTCGAAGCGATTTTAATTCCATTTTTATTTCCAATTGATATTTGTGGCCACAATCACTTGGCACTCTAGTCGTGCCTTTCCACAGAAGATTTACATTTTTATATATTGTTAAGATAGAAAGCAAGCCAGCGAAATTACATCTTAGCAGAGTAGAGGGCAAAAGCTGAAGTGCGTAGTTATGAAAGATGGAAGCACGCGAAGAGAAAAGTTTTGGTTTACAAGGTCAGTTTCAGTTCTTAATTATTACGTCATCAGAGTTGCGCCGGCCATAGAATGATCTAGAAATGACGCAATGCAGAGAAGTTATTACGATTTTAGAATAAAGAGGAAGAATTAATGTTTTTAGTTATTCTGATTCATATAATTTTATCTTACATATATATATAACATAAAATATGTATACAATATAAAATAACAATATTTTCCATTAGCGTTGTAGGGTGTTCTGGATCGACTACGTTAGCATAAACGAGGGGTATTATAACAGTTCACTGTTCATCTGAAAAACATTTTTAACATTTAATTTTGCCACTTGGGTACTGTCTGTTATGTTATCGGGAGAGGATTCAGAAATGTATGAATGCATGCGTGAATGTATGTATATATGTATAGACACATACATTCATGCTTACATAGTATATACATGCATACATTGAACACATCCATCCATTTATGCATACACCTCTGAATCCGGTCCTGATTAGTACCGCCATTTAGTTATCCAGAAATTGAACTCTGTTCAAGAGTTCATCCCATGTTGCTTTGATAATTCGGGTAGTTGCTTCCGTGGGCTTACGCACATCAAATATTTCTATAGGTGGATTCATATCGTTGGTTTTATCTGCCACTATAACAAGATTTGAATTACCTGCTTCGCTTACTAGCAGTATGTTTATCATTACTTCCGGTAATTTTTCAAAGCACAAGGTTTTAATCAAATTTTCTGATAAGTCAGTGTAGCAACATAATTTTTAGGTAGTTGGCATGGCTTCATGGCTACCAGCTCAGTGTAGGTAACTGATTTCTTTATTCGGAGATTTTCAGTTTCCCTAAATGCCTGTTTTTAGCACCTTTAAATTTGTTGTTGCTATCGCTATTAACAATGTCCCATAAGTTTTCTAGGTATTTAGGCTTCAGTTTTGAAAACAAATAATTAAACTTAGTTTCTTCCGATTTTATTCCTAATATTTTGAATTGCGTTTCAACTTGAAGAAACCAGATTTCAGGTTTCTATCCAGTAAGGAGAAATTTTAACGCTTATTCTGTTTAGTTCAGGCGATAATTTTCTAAATCTTCAGTTTCATCTGTTTTCGGCATCTTTTGTATTCACCGGGTCATCAGGTTTTGCAGTCACCATATAAAGATGACTGAGAAAAAAACATGTAAATACTAATAAAACAGCTTTATTAAATTAAATATTTATAATTATTTACACTTTCCGGGAATTCGAACATATTTTAAATCCATCCCTCAAGATAAACTATTTATCTTGAGGGATGATAAACAATTGTTGACTTTGGAAAATTGTCACCATAGCAATCGTTTTAAATAAAAATTACAGCAACGATATTTTTTGAAAACGATTTTTTAATGGGCGTAAATTTAAATTATTGTTACTCCAAAGTATCACTTTTTTTAAACTGCTGTCACGAAATGTTGTCGCTCTGTATTATGTTTAGAGAAATTAAATAATAAAGAATCTGCATGAGTATTTTTGCACCGTGAAAATAACAACTTTACCTAGAGCCATCAAATTTTGAATAACGTACTCCTCCACCTGAACATGTTCACCTGGAAGACCAAAATTGAATTTTGAATGTGTTATACGGGGGTTGCTATTTATATTTCTGGCTTAATAATGAAAAGAAAAATGTTTATGAACGAAATTATTTTTGTTGTGTTTCAAAATATTCTCGGTGAAGATCAATAAATTTTTGCACGTGTTTGAACAATTTGTGAAGCATTTTTCCCACTCCGATTGAGAAAACTCCAAAACATGCGTTTTGAATTCATCAACTGCTTCTTCAGTGTCGCAAATCGCTGACCACGTAATTTATTTTTGATGTGTGGGAATAAAAAAAGGTCATTTCTAATTTCTCCGATGACTTCTGGCAAACAAATAATCGTGTACTATTCCGAATTGACCTACCTGCATTGTATTAACGCGAATAATGACCAGTAATGCCGAATAAACAGTGAAACCATTTACTTCGATGCGCTTCTTCTGTGAACAACTTTTGTTGCATTTGGCTCGTCTTGGGAAACCCTTACAGTCGACTGCTGTTTTGTTTCGGGCTCATATGAAGAGATCCGTGATTTGTCACCTGTGTAGATGTTGTACGTAGCCTTTGATGCACCTTGAACGTTTTTTCCAGCATTTCCTTGCAGCAATAGACACGAACCTTCTTTTGAGCGTTTGTCAGATTACGCAGGATCCAACGCGAACAAAACTTTTTACGGCCAAATGTTAATGTAATATCTTATTGATGCTTGTCATACTAATGGTCAAAATGACTCAATCTTACAGTATGTCAGACGATCTTGCTTTATCAATTCACGCATAGTATCGATATTCTCTGGCACAACAACCGATTCTGGACGATATTCAAGGAATTTGTCTTGAAGCGAACGTCGATCACGACTGAATTTGTTATACCAGTTTTTTACACTGCTGTAGGATGGTTCTTTATGGCTGTATAAAGAATTAAGTTCATCGAAGTTTTGTTTTGATAATCTTGTTTTGATAATCCACGTCGAAAGTTATGAATAATAATCACATGAAAATGTTCACGATTCAATTACATTTTTTGCCCGAGATGAATTTTTCAATTTACTGTAAACAACACACACCACGCTAAAATAATAGAATGTTCTAAAGATGTTATTGCTAAAAATATCAAACTTTCGATTGGAATCGTCTGCGGTCGCCTAGCAACACATACTGTTGCCAAGACGGGAAATATAAATAGCACCGCCGAGCGTCTTGCCCGTTACAATCCGCAGCTCTATTCACTACCAGCATATTGATCAGTTCATCGTTTGAATATACGCGTTCATTCTACTACCTCGGGAAACGGATCGCAAATGACGACTTCCAACAGGATCTCTGTTCACGCAACCTTCCGTTCAGCAACATCTAGCGCAAGACTGCCGGTAGCAATCTTTCAGAACGTAAGGAATTTCATACAGCGCCGCTGTCAGGTCTGCCAGACAACGTCTAGTCGTAATTTCGAACACCAGTTGTAGTACAAACTTTCAATAAAATGTTTTCTGTCCCATTAATCATTAATGTGCTGCTGTTTCTGTTCTTTTTCTCTGCTTGGTTGCACCATAGCTCGCAACTACGGCATTTACGACCTTGCATTCCTATGTGATTCTGAGTTGTCTCTGAAACCCCTACACACCCTGCAAGTTTATCGGTCTGGTAGCGAATTACCCTTTATAGTTATGTACTCATAGACATGCTTTCTTGATTAAAAGGAAAAATGTCAATATTTCATTTTCGGAAAATTTACTTAATGTAGAAATAAGATTCGTGAGATGCACATTTCAAACAAAATATTTTTCATAACTTCAGTTTAATTAATTGAAAACTTTAATTTCTAAACCTGATGGGGACTCGCTTAAATGTTTATTTTTAGATCGAGATTTATTGCTTTTGAGAGAAAAGGTTAAGATAAACATTTATAAGGCATTTGAAAACTACCCTCGATGTATGACTTCAAACTTTAATAAACAAACTTTTAAACTAAATTTAATGCCGTCTTCTCAAGAGGTCAATAAATAATGATATCACAGAGAATCCTGGCTTGATACGGATGCGCATTGACACAAGTATTGGTCTTGGCTACGCACATGTAATTATCATATCATAAATATGCATAATAGATTGAATATAAAATTAGGCCTTCCAGTTTTTTGAATATGTATTTCTATTTCAAAATGCTGTAAAATATATTTTAAGTGCAATAAAGTCTTTCTAAAGCAACAAGCTTGTTTGAAATGAGATGAATTTTAAGAGTGTCGTCATAAACTGTAGCTGCATTAACTTGATGTTTTATTGTCGGACACCCGAATTCAAATAATTTGAAAAACGAGTGCATAATTAATTATTATAAATAGGATACAAAAATTAATATTATAAAATTTTGGAATTTGAATTAATATATAACTATTCCGCTCTTTATTATCGTATATATCATTTGGCGGGCTGAGGTTTTCACAAGCATCTCAAAACCTAATCCTTTTTCCTCGGTAAGGAACGGGTAGTTGAATCCATTAAGTATCTGAGGGGTGATAGGAAGCTTCTTGTAAATCTTGCCTAAAGATCTAGAAGATCTTAAAGTAAGTGTAAATTATTTAATCAATTTTTAGCTTGATGTATATAATGTGCTATCAAAAACCGCCTGTTCAAGATTATTGTATTTTTGCTTTTTCTTCCGATTAATATATAAATTCGCAACGATTTTCTTTTAATTCTGAAGTTACTTTAATTGCTTAGTTTTCCAAATTTTAATTCAAATTCTGATAAAAGCTGACTTTTTAGTTTAAAGTGATCTAGAAATAAAACGCGAATTCTTGAAAAATTATAATGAAATATCATTCTGAGTTTCATTTTAACTAAAATAGAACCGTAAACGTTATGAAAAATTCTTTAAGAGTACAAGAGAAAAATGCATATAAAGATTGAGAATCTCAAAATGTAGCTATAAATCATTTAAAAATGCACACGTCGTTTAAAGTTTTCTGAGAAAAATAATAATGAAATTATTAAGCTGTAGTAAGGTATTTTCTTTCTGTAATGTAATGCGGAATTAAGTGCTAATAGTGCACTAATGAACTTTACTTGTAAGATTTTTAAAAGTAATTTTTTCTTCTTATTTATATCATACCTATGTTTTGAAACATTAGTGATTTTAGTCAAAAGTGTTATATAGAAATTTCTCTGCAAGTTTATCGTATTTAATGCTAATTTTTATATTAAAATAGATTATATATACAATTACTCATATTTGTTTTTGAACAGGTGTTGTTCAATTTTATTTATCGGTTTTAAATATTGGTGAAATGGCGTTTTCTTCCATAGCTTTTGTATATCTTTTTGAAAGCCACTTGTTTTGGAAAAGTTAATCAAAATAATTTACTCAAAAATTTTGAAAATCAAGTCCCATAAGTATCTGTATGCATTGAATAAACTGTTTATATTAAAAAAAAAAAAAAATATGAAAGTAACAGGATATTCAAAATTTGGTTGAGTATCCTTTAGGCAAAATTACAGTTTTCATGTACTGTGCAATAGATTCAAGTAGTGTTTCATGCATATAATGTTCCATTCACCATAAGAGTTGCTTTTATTAGCGCTTTCAAATAAATATTAATTTCCTGTATTCTTAATGTATGGGTAAAAGAATTATTATTAGATATTTTCTACACTTAAATACCTCAATGGTATTTAAGTGTAGAAAATTTGTAGGAGTTTTTATAATTTGAGTATAGTTGCATAAGAGCTACAAGCAAACATTTAGGGTTGTACGATTAGGATCATCCTGATAGAAATTGAATGTATTGTGCATTCTAAGTTTTTTTTGTAGATGTTTTCATTCAGGATATTTATATATTTATTCTGATTCATATTATTTTCTTTAAAAACTAAATTATCCATCGTATAGATGATGCATTCCAAAATCGTTATGCCTCCAGCCCTGTGCTTAAAACAGTAAGCAATAGGGTTTTGGATTCAAGTCTTCATTCGGCTTTTACCACATGATAATTGATCCGTCAAATCCAAATGTATTAAATTCAATTCATCTGCTCATGTAGCATTGTGTTGATATGATAACTGTTAATTACTATGGATTTTATGAAAACCAGGTGTATTTTCTGTGTTCCCTTGTTGATGAGTTTCCTTCTTGCCGATTTCTTGTATCCATCTGTCCAAATGATTTCTAACAATTAGCTTTTGTTGCAAACTATTCTTCTATATCCTCTGCAGGTTTTATATAACTTTGAATCTGTTTCACTCTTTAGTATATTTTCAACAGTTTCACACAATTTCCATTGTTTAATGAAATCTAAGATAGCTGGACATCAAGGATTCTTTGGTTTTTCGAAATATTTTTATGATCTTTAAAATGATAAAGAATTAAATATTTAGCACAATTGTGTCTTGCCATGTTCCCTTAAAATATGGAACTATTAATATATTTTGTGAAACAAATAATAGTGTCCAAATGAAGAAGGTAATTCTTGTGATGTTTTTAAATTAAAAAAAAGAAAAAAATGTAATGCTCGATAAAATTTCCAGTTGTCCTATATAAGTTAACTGATTAACATTTTTTGAATAAATATTTTTATTGGAAAAAATATTTTGATGATACAGTACAAAGTCTAATCTGGACGTCCATTATCCGGAATGATTTATAATCCGGACCTCAAAGCCACGAACTTTTTTTGTATGCTTTACGGATGTGCGTTTAGCACAAAAAACAAAGCAACTTAAAGAACTTGCATTAAAAGAAATGTTTAATAAAGTAAACAAATAAATATTAAGCTTTTTTTTGTAAATTTTGATACACTTTAGATCATAATTGCTCTTCATAAATTACGGTTTCATATTTTTAATTGTAAAATTTCTGCATGCCATCTTACCAGATTTAAATTGATGATCTATAATCCGGAATTGCCGAAGTCTCGACGAGTCCGGATTATGAACTTTGTACTGTATATATTTTGCCAACATTATCGCCAAGTTGTCTTCCTTCAGTTTACTGTAACCATAAGTGTGTGTGACAAACTCAAATGGATCATTTGAGCAAATTGTTTTTATAAGTCAAACAGAAGCTTTTGTAAGTAACTTTAGCAAATAATGACGTGTGTGAGATAGCCATATAGTAATAAACTTAGCCATTTTACTTTGGCCGATGTTACCGGATTTTGCGCACTGCCGTATCTCTGCAATTCTGTGATTTTTTTAAGTTGTAGACAGTTTGCTGTGATATTGGGGATAAGAATAGCACAAAAAAGTGACAGAAAGAGTGCAATTTTTAAAAATATCGTGTAAAACTTATTTAATAATTTAAAATTTATATACAGTCAAAAGTCTTTAATCCGTACCTCAAAGCTACAAACTTTCTGCGCATGCGTAATGCGTTTACGCATGCGCATAATGCGTTTACGTATGCGCGTTTAATGTATAACGGACGGTATAAGCTAAGCTAAAATTATCTATTTCAGTTAATGCTGCGTTGTTCCTTAATCTTTGAATTGGATCCGGCTTATTATTTTTTGCAAACTGTTACAGCAATTTTATAAAAGTAAGGTTGAACTTTCGATTATGTCGAAAAGAATTTCCGATTCTGGAGCTGCCAAAGGATCTACAACGCGAAATCATGTTTCGATGTCCATCAAACAAAAAGTGGAATTGCTGCAAAAAATGGATAAAGGCATGTCCTTTGTTTCTCTAACCATTCCAAAATCTGTTTATCAATTTCACGCTGCTCTGTGGGGGGGGAGGGACGTCGCGGCGCGCAATGAACTGGAAGTTGGTCTGTCAGCACTATCCTTATCTTCAGGGCAGATGTTTTTATTTTATTCAGCTTATAATTCCTTACTAAATGTAGTATTTCATCTCAATGTACTCCGTCTTTCATATGATTTAATCAAATTCTTCGTCATTATAAATATCACGAATACACATCAAATAGTTTTCTGGTTGCAATTTTCTAATTTCGACTATGCGTAATGTATGCGTTACACATGCGCGCGTTGAAAGAAATGTTTAATAAAGTAAACAAATATTAAGCCTTTTTTTTTTTTTTTTTTTTTTTTTGTAAATTTTCATACCCTTTAGATCATAATTGCTCTTTGTTTCATAATTACGGTTTCATATTTTTAATTTTATAATTCTGCATGCCATCTTACCAGATTGATGATCTATAAAGATCGCCGAAGACGAACGGATTAAGACTTTTGACGTATAAAATTACTAAAATGCTTCTTTCTTTTTATATCTCGAAAAGTTTGCCAACATACAATAAATATTGATGGTTGGGAATCTTTTAAAAAAAAAAAAACCAAGTGATGCTCAAAACTTATGCATGATCTGGAGGTTTATGTTGGACAGGTAACCTAATGGGCTTTTTAGAGTACGCATATCTATTTCAAAAGGCATCAGTTATGGTAAGGAGGCGGATATGAAGACTGTGGCAGCCCTACTGAGAAAAAGTGTTGGTAACATGAAACCGTGGGATAAGTTGTTCTTTAAAGAGTACTAAAGAATTTCCTCTTGTACGTGTACCACAGCCAACATCGTGTTGAGTGAAAAAGGGAAACAGTGAAGCATTTATCATTAAGCTTGTTGCGTTGAAGAATATGAAGAATCATTGTGTAAAGTACATTTGTTCATTATGCGCTTGAATTGTTACACAAACACTGAGATAAAAATGATGAATAAAAACAATTTGAACATAATTAAAATAAAATAACTGCCAATTGAATTTTAGTTAATTACATACATTGGGCTGTTACAAGTATAAGGAAGATGCTGTCATTGGCTACTGTTTATGGCTTTATATCAAATTATTGGCAATATGAAATCCATGCCTTGTTTTCTGCAGTATGCATGTACGTGTGCTAAATTCTCAGTTGCTCTGTCTAATTGCGGTTTAGTTAAATATGGCCGAACGATATCAGCCCAACCATAATTGATGGTAATAATTTTTTAAAAAAATAAATGGAATCTTCCACGCTAATAACACTAATACCAAATAATAACTGTTAACCAAGTATTATTTGAAATGTTTGCATCGGAAAGGAAAAAAAAAAAAAAAAAAATCGAGTATTACGACGTTATGAAAAGACCCCCTTCGCTTGTATTCGTTAGTGTTCGGAGTTGCTGCCCTTCCCCCCCGGTTTAATAAATGGAATCGTCTACATTTCGAGAGAACGTCGGATTGTGGCAGGCTTGAGACACTAATTCGGTTTAGCGGGAAGAGCGGCGGAAGGTTTTGTGTTAGTCGTTCGTTTGTACGTTTAGAGTAGAGTGCTAATAGGTATGCCGGTTTTTATGTTTTATATAATGTATGTCTTTTTTAAGTGTTCATCGTTGTAATTTTGTGTATTCTATTTAATCTTATTTAGGAATGGGAGTATAGCATTTTCCTCTTAGGCCTTCACGTGAGTTTTTGGTATTAACACACCGCTGTTTGTTTTTCTTTGTTTGCAGTGTAATATAATTAAAGCACTGTAAATACAGTATTTAAAGTTACTGTTATTTTTTTTTTATTATTTTCCAATCAGAATGTTCTTTGTTAATGATTTTCCTGGTATTTCAAAGAATACAACGGGTTTTGTGTTTACAAGGTGGATACTCCTGCGCTAAAAATATACTAAAATGAAAAATAAGGGTGGATAGGTGTCCTTGTGTAAAAATTAATCATTTTAAAAAATTACTTTTCATAATGTTATGTAAAAAATCGCACCGAAGATACTCCTGTCAAACAATACATGTGCCGACTTATGCACATTTGGTATGACAGCACTTTTATCCAGCGCCGGTCCGTGATGAAAGTGCTGTTATATAACCAGTGGCAAAAGTTTTGGAATTTAGGTAGAATCTGGGTAGTAGAATTTAAGTCCACCAGGCGGCAAAATGCTTAACGCCGGCTCTGCTTTCACAACTTCTCGAGGGCCTGTGTAATATGCCGAGGAGTAAGTACAGGCGTAAGTAGAAAATTTCAAAAATGAATTAATATCATTACACAATGTTAAAATAATGTTCTACCACGTTAAAAACGAATCCGGTATATTTGCTTATATCGTTATTCGTTCTGTTGGTCATGTAGCTCTTAACTGTAAAGTTAAAGAAGGGATCGATCAGTCAAAGTTTAGCTTATAATATTCATATTGTCTGTATTTTAAATGCAAACAAGCTTAGATTTTTATTGTTATTCATAGATATCCATTAGACATCGACAAAACTTTGTTTTAGTATTACTTGTAAATCTAATAGCCAGACCTAATCCAAGATCAGTTGTTGAAAATGGTTCCCCCCCCCTGTCTTTTAACCCCATAACAAAATAATTGTTAACCGTTTACATCTCTAAATAAGTATGTGATTGTTTTGAGGCTAATTAAAAAATTCACCATTCTTTACTAATAAATTTGAGGTGTGGGTAAAGTTTTGAAATTTTTCCTATTTACAGGTGTCAAAATTCTGCAGTGCTTTTGCACTTCAATGTAAAAATTACTTCATTTGCAAATTAAAGTTTTCTGTTTTGGGAAGATGTGTCCGTGTTTTAAGAAAACTGAAAAATAACTGCCGGCAATGCAAATTAAACTTTTTCTGGTGCATCTTCTGGGTTGAACAGTGTTCTTATTTTCGAAAGACAATACACAGACAAAATAGGTAATGTTAACAAGAAGTAATATTCTTACTTTGTTAACTAATTGTAGAGTTTAAGACTTGTAGAACTGGATAAATTGAAAAATGGCTTCCCAGTGTTCCCAATGAGTTGGCTGTTAACGGATATATTTTCTATTGACTTTGTTGATTCCTTAGTACCAAGATTGATTTGCTTTAGAATATAGCCCTTTATTGTTTTTCTGTTTATGTATATCTAGAGAGAGACTTCCATTTTTAAATGTTTCATTCAAAATCACATTGTTAGAAGGAATACATAGAATCAAGGCTCACCAGTGGCCGAGCAGTAAAGTCGCTGAACACTGGTAGTTCGGTCCGAGGTTCGAATCCCGCGAACGGGCTGGCTGCATGGATGTTTTCATTGTTTCCCCCATGTGTAACGTGTATACGAACCAGTTTTCCTTAGAAAGTCCTCCCTCCCCTTAGGCAGATAGCCCTCGAAGCTTTGCCGTAATTGAATAACCTAACCTAATAATATAGAATCAATGTTGTAGAAAACCAAGTCTTGCTACCTGCACAGATAAATGCCGCTTAAATCGGATTATAACCCTATGCTGATATCTATTTTTTAAAGATTTAAATTTAATTATGTCTATATTCTGCTGGTATTGCTTTTGCACTGTACATGAGGTGTATTAAAAAACAAAAAATTATGAACCCTCAACTTGTATTACGATGAATTTAAATAAACAAGCTTTATTTTGTATTTCAAAACAGATTTTGTAAGAGCTATTCTATATTTAAAAGTGTAGGAAGACCACTAATTCTAAGCATTTTGCAGTAGAAAGTACCAGCTTGTACAGATATTTGCTAGATGTCCAATTATTACGTGATGAAGTTCTTGAATGAGTTATCAGCCAGATTTTTTGTTGTTGTTGTTGTCAAAATATTTGTCTTTAAATAGCAGAGCAATGGCCTTTATCGGAGCTGTTCATATTCTTGTTGCTGTTCTGCCACATTTACTTGGCAACTGCTGTCACAGAATTATAATAAAATGATGTTTAGAACTAGGTTGCTGCTTAAACAGCACCAAGTTAGGTCCCCAAGGCCCTTGTTAGTATCGAAAATAACTAAACTAAACCTGCTTTTAAAAATTAGGTAAATCTGAAGTTGATAGTTGAGTTCTTGGACATTTACTATCTCCACACATTTCAGTTTGTATAGGGAAAACAAATAATACTTAAAAATAATAACACAAAGGAAAACTAGCAAAATTCAAAAAAAGGGAAGAAACAATATGCAGCCCATACAGATAAGCCGGTGCTTAGTTAGGCATTACGTTCACCATGCTGTTTATGAGTAATAGGCTGATGTGTCATAGCAACGTTCTTTCGTTAGCACATGCTGCTAGGGTTGGAAGTCCCCTCGTCTGTTTTCTCTGTTATTAAAGCTTAGTGGAAACAAAAGTAATGTAAAATCAAAATTAAGCCTGGTTTTATTGAGCTGTGGAATTTGCATTTATGTCATGAACAGAAATTTTATAAATTAAGATTTACTTATTTTTCTCTGCCCAAGTACTAGGGTTGCTGGAGTGAAATGCACATTACTCAATTTTATAGAATTCTATCGAAGTCTGTCTTCGATCCATTAATGCAGTTGTTATCTTTCTTGTAAATAATTTTTCTGTTCTGTCCATAGCATTGCTCGGTAATGGAGAAATTTTAGATTAAAACCCCTTGAAAGTGCAATCATTTTATATATGGGTGATGCTGAATTGCAGAACTATTATACAGACAAAAGTCGTTAATTCAGACACCTATAATCCGGACCTCAAAGCTACAAACTTTCTACGCATGCGTCGTGCGCGTAAGACCTTTACGGCTGCGAATATGCGTGTGTGCATGCACATAATACGGTTACGCTTGCGCGTTTAATGTATAATGGACGGTATAAGCTAAGCTAAAATTATCTGATTCAGTTATGTTGCCGATTGCGTTGTTCCCTTATCTTCGAATTGGATCCGGCTTATTATTTTGTGCAGACTGTAAGAGCAATGTTAAAAAGAACTTGAACTTCGATTAGTCAAATAGAATTTCCGATATATATTTACTAATATGTAAATTATCTACAAAGCGAAAATATGTTTCAAAGTCCATTAAACAAAAAGTGGATAAAGGCATATCCTTTGTTTCTCTAACAATTCCGAAATCTTTCATGCTGCTCTACGGCCCGGTGGGGAACGCCACGGCGTGCAATGAATTGGAAGTTAATCTGTCAGCACTATCCTTTTCTTCAGGGCAGATTTTTTATTTTATTTGGCTTATAATTCCTTACTAAATGCAGTATTTCATCTTTGTGTACTCCGTCTTTGATATGATTTAAATCAAATTTCTCGTCATTATAATTCGCTTCCGAAAGAAGAAAGTGACACAGAGGTTATTAAAAGTGAAGAAATTATTGACAATAGTCGGTATTCACCCGAATTATAGGACTTGAAAGTGGAACTTTGTACTGAAGACGAATTATTCTGTTTATAAATTAAGAGAAGTATTATCACATAAAACGAAGAACTTAAACAACTTGCATTAAAAGAATGTTTATAGTAAATATTAAGCCTTTTTTTGTTTTTTTTTAATTTGAACCCTTAGATCATATGTTCTTTATTTGATAAATTATGGTTTCATATTTTTAATATTATAATTTCTGCATGCCATTTTACCAGATTTAAACTGATGATCTATCCAAGAAAATCGATAATCCGGATTAACGACCTGTCTGCAGTTAAGGAGGGAAAAAAATTTTGTAATTTCTTGAGAATGATTTCCGTGATTAAAAATCGATGAAATTCACCATACTATTGCTAAAGCATCAGAATTTGCCCATGCCCAATAATTGAGGGAATTGTAGAGTGATTTCCGTGATTGAAAATCAGAAATTCACTATACTATTTATTGCTAAAGCATGTGATTTTGCATGCGCCGAGTAATTGAGGGAAATGAAACTGATGCCCAAGATGCCTTTTCATGTTTTAGTGCTCGCATGCTAAAATTAAAACTGAAGACTTATTAGGATTCTCTTTTCAGTTTATCTATTGATAGGTCTAACTAAACGAGATGACCAATAATTCACATGTTTAGTGATATGTGTAGCTGGATTTATAAAGCTATTTTATATTTAGCGAATATGTGTGTTTTAATTTTTTGGGACAGAATTGATGGATCAGAATCTTAAATTCTCGGCTTGTGTATGAAAATATGTAGTAACATAAAAGTAATATTAGTTTTTTATTAATATGAGTGTTCCAAATTAATGAGTTTGTACATGTATTTTGATTCTGGTTTATTTGATTATAATATTCTCAGGAATCTAAAATGACATCAAAAAGGAAGAAGGATACTGCAGTAAAGGAAGTAGAAGAATATGTAGTCGAAAAAATTCTCGACAAACGTATGAGCAACAATAAAGTGGAATATTTTCTGAAATGGAAAGGCTATCCTGAGTGAGTAATAACTTATTGTTTGCCTCATTTTAAGTAAGAATCAGAAACCAAAGCTAAAAGTTAGTGGAAAATTATTAATATTTCAATTTCCAAAATAGACTTAAAAATGTAGATTGTGTTCAGGCTTTATATGAATTTTAATTTAAATTGTAAGTAGCGGCACACTAGAACACTTAATTGGCAATAGTAAAAACTCATCTTGCCTTAGATTTGTAAATTGAAACTTTACGACCAGCATTACTATTTCTACTGCACTGCATAATGCGATGCACCTAAAAATTTCTCTTCGTACACACAGAAAAGTTGAATGGAAAAGGATTTATAGGTTACTGTGAACCTTCTTTATTCACACTAGATGGCAACATACACAAACCAGTCCATATATTTTAGCCATGTTTAATTTTTAAAAATCCTCATTTTTCAAAGGATTTGTCCAGATTTCCTTTTAGGATATAAAAAGAATTGTTTGAAGAGAAATTTTTATGTTATTTTCTTGGCTCCATGCTAATGACCTTATTGTATATTAGTTTAAAATGTTTTAAAATCGAACGGCTAACATCAAGTGTGGGATCGCCGAAACACTCTGACAACACCAACAGCTATGTTGTTTCACTGCAGCTCTCCGTTGAGCTCATTCACAATAGAAAGGTGGATCTACATCTGTGTTTCCTTTCCTGTTTTTCTTTTTTGGGGGGAGGGGAGGTTTGCTGAATTTCTGAAGATCAGGTATAATTTTATCAGATATCTGTTTGGTTTTTCACTAGAGCAATAATTTTATCAGATATCTGTTTGGTTTTCCACTAGAGCAGTTCTTTCACTTTTGTTCAAAGAAGTTTTGTTAGCACTACACTTTGATAGTTTTGAATTATAGACATTTATTTAATTTTTTTATAGTTTATATTTTCTATTGTATATGTAATATTAGTTTTTTTCCCTGATTTGTAATTATTTTGCAAATGGATCAGAGGAGGCTTGCTGACCATTTCTGAAGTGCTACGTGAATAGTGAATCTGATAACCGATCCTGGTACATATGCAAAACATGCAGTGTTGGGTAGTGCTTTTTCAAAGGTAGTGTCACTTCATAAAGTACCAACATAAAAAAATATGTGAAACTGTAAATATCATATACCAAAGTTACTTTTTTTTTCCTCCCAATTTATAAACATGTAATCATCATATAACCAAGAAGAGCTTTTTTCGTTGTAGAGTAGCAGGCCTCCCTGTGGCATGCTAAATCTGTTGCGGTATTCAAAATATAGTGTTTTTTAATCATATGCAAAATCTTTTACTCTATTACGAGCTTCCCAGCAATGCTCGCCTCTGCACTCTTTAAAGCTCTATTCATTCAGTGACTCTGCTTCCAGACACGCAGAATTAAAATTCAAAGTGCTCTCTTTGCAAAATTTTACCTGTGTACTTCTCTACTCTTGATTAGACTACCTATCATTTGTTTTATCAGAATTCCAACTTTAAAAGGTAGTGTCCCAGAAAGGGTTAAACATCGAAATGCTCTGCATTTAGAACTCAAGTCTTGCAATATCTAAAAAATGTTACTTTTATTGATTGAAGGTATATTTTCAGGAATTGCAGTAAAATTGCTGGCTAATCTTTAGAATATGGTAACAGGTAGTTTGGCGACATTTTGGTAAGGCGATAAAGGTTACTAGCTAGGACTTTAGCAGTGTACACAGATAAAGTCGAGTGTGTACAATGCCATTTTTGTGCAATTCTGGGATGTTATGTTAAGTGAAAATAGGTTGACGTGTACATGGATACCGTGTATGTGCAAATCTTAAAAACGTGGCAAGCAGTGGACGATTCTGCACTTTCTCCCAATTTCGCACCTAATCTTCGTCATGATTAAGCACTTTTGTTCCATAAAAGTTCCAGTATAAACGTAATTTGGCTAGCAGATTGTTAGGAAAAAATGTTGAGTGAAAAAAAAAATGCCTTTACTTTTACTTCGTGAAAACAAAACTAGCAGGTTGCTGTAAGCAGGGTTGGTCGCCAAATTTTAGCCAAAAAAACGCCAAGTTACCATAATTCAAAGATTAACCAAATTGCTAAAATAGTAACAGGGTTGCCGCGCTACCGGGAAAACCGGAAAAAGTCAGGGAATTCGGAAATTGACCAAAAAAGTCAGGGAATTTAAGTGTTTTAGTCAAAATCTGGAAAAGTCGGGGGAATTTCATACAACGATCCCGCCAAAAAAGGCGAGTTTTGCGCCGACGTCGGAAGAGATCACTTTTTTGGTGAATTGTGTATCACGTAAGTGTCATTCGGGCAGCTGGCATAGAGCCAATTTTTGCAGCTCCAATTTGATTGTCTTTTAGAAAGGCAAAGCAAGTTTCCCGCAGCGTTTGGTTTCCAGTAACCTCAAGAATCGCATGTGCAGTGCATGAACTAAAGAAAGTACCTGTTCTCGTATAAAACAAAATGGGTTTAATCCTAGTATACGGTACATGAAGGTTAGAATCAAAGAATATGTATTATAAAGAAGGAAAACCTCTCTGTAACAGACGTGGCTCCGTTCCATCATAGAGGAAAAGAGCTGTGCATGGGCGATGATAATATCTGTCGCCAAAGCTCGAAACCGGTGTCGAAGTTCGAAGGTCAAGAGTTCATAAAATGAATATCATTTAAAATTTCTTTAAAATCTAAAGGAAAAGAAAATATTTTTTGGCGCAAGTAAATTAATTCATGTATTAGTTATTTTGAGGTTAAAAAAAAAAAAGTAAATCCTTTAAATTTTTGCGAAAAATCCAACAAAAAACGTTCTTTGATAAAACATTTCTTGGATTTTTCGCAATAATTTTAAAATGCATTTTCATAGTTTTCTTTTTTGTCAAAGAACGTTTCTTCTTAACACGTGTTTCTCAATTTCCTATAATAACGTCGCGAAGAGGGAAATTCTGCCCGCCAGGTTACGTCGCCAAATTCCTTGGCAAATTTTCCCTCCGCTTTCTAGCGGCTTAATAGCATTTATGTGTATGAACCTTTTCTACTTTACATAGGCGTTCTTTGGTTAGAATAATCTCCATGTATGGTACAGCGGGATTTGGCAACATGATGATGAGCAGTAAACGGCTCATTTTGTTCTTGGCGACAATTTTCAAAATCGTGCGAAGGCCGTAATAACGTATACTAGGATTTTACCGCAAAATCTTTTTTTTCTTTTCTTTTTAATAAATACCTTGTCATTTTGCAGAAAAAAAAAATAGTAATCAGTCATCTAGGCTATCCATGTAATATAACTATATTCGCTAAAATATCGTTGATTATTCTAATTCAATTTTTAAGTAATTATTTTTATGTTATTCATATCATTTAATGTTGCTTCTTCCATCTTAATTTATTTATCATTAGTAAATAATATTTCTAAATTTTAGGAAATTTTCTCTGGCACAATCCTGAAATTAATTCTAGCAGTATGATGACGTACCATCACGAAATTTAATGCACTTATTTTTTCCTTATGTATGCTGCGAAATAAATACCTGAATTTATTAAAAAAAACCATTAAATAGATTTCTTTCTTTTTGTTTAGCTGCAGAATCTCAATCTTTAGTGGAGAAAACAACTCCTATTATAATTATATTTGTGTTTTCAAGTGTTAAGGTGCCTTTTAAGAACATATCTCACACAAATTAAATATACCTAAAATCTAACCTAACTATTTAGCATTGCGTTGTGATTTATAAGAACCAGATTAGCCTTGTGTTGAACTGGTGATGATCATGAGTAATAATTAAAATAAAACGTACATTTGTTATCCAATGTATATGTCTTAAATTTTATTTAGTTTCTTAAGTGGAAAAGTAAACAAATTATCAAACAAAGTGTACCAAGAATAATTAAGAATAAATGTCCGCTGGGATTTATGGAATAATTAAGTGAATTTGCTACACAATACAAGTAATACCATAATTAATTTACCTCTTAGCACAGCCAACGTACATTACGCGGATAGACTGGAATTTTCTCGAAACATACCTGGAGTCAGGGAATTTCATTCTCCTGTTTGAGTGGCAACCGTGTACTAAGAAAGAGGGCTATTATTGTACATTTATTTAAAGACTTGTTGTGTTAAAATGTTTTACTGAAGTATGTAATATTAGAAGTAATTCTTAACAATTTCTCGTATATTTTTCATAAAACATTCATTAAATGCACATGATCAAACTAAAGTATATCTTTATTTTTATAAATATTTCAGAGAAGATAATACGTGGGAGCCAGAGGAAAATTTAGATTGTCCAGAAATGATTAAAGAATTTGAAGAAAATTGGAAGAAGAAAAAAGAATCTTCAGAAAAAAAACGAAAATTAAATGGCAGCGAAGGTGTTCCAGAATCGGCAGCTAAGAAGAAAGCAGAAGTAAAATTTGGTTCAATTTATTTTTTATTAGTCATCCAAAAGAATTTTAATTTTTAGTTCATCATCATCTTGCTACCCATATTCAGTTGTCAGATAGATAACATTCGTAAAAGTTAAATTTGAATTTATTTTTTAAATTCAAATTTGCAAGGGAAGGGGTATTTAAGGAAGCCTTTTTAATGATTTAGTATTTGTTACTGTGAATTATCAGTTAAGAAATACACATTAGTTTCGCTTATGAAAATTCTGTAAATAATTTTGAAACTGTTTTGTGAGAAAATTACTTGGAAGTAAAGGACAAAAAATAAAACATACTTTTTATGCTTGGTTTGATTTTAACAAATGCATGAGTGATTAATATGAGCGTAATCTCATTTAATCAGGAACCAGCCAGATGTTGGAATGTAAGTTCTTTTCATATCACAAACTACTGTCTGCCCCCATTCCAGAAAAAAAAAAAAAAAAAAAAAAAAAGGCAGAGAGTACTCAGAAATAAGAAGAGTTATATCTATGAAATTTGGTAGATTAAATATAACTGATATGTAGCTCAAAATTTCATGTAGAAATCTAGTTCCAAATTTAGACAAACGTAGTTAAAAAGGAAGTCTTGCATAACTACTTTCTTAAAATTTCTGGCTTTCTCATGTTACTGTCTCTCTGGTTTTTCTTATGATTGTGTTTTACTGCTGTTCTTAGATTTAGACATTTTCCTTTTAAATAATGCAGCTTTAGTGTTTATTTGCATGTCTATCACTGCATATTTCATGAAACATGAACTAAAATTTAAAAAAAAAAAAAAAAAAAAAAAAAGTTAAAAGTTTACCACATATTTTTGAAGCATGATCTGATCTTGAAATGGAGAATATTCGTGATATATCAACTAGATTTAAGTTTTGACACCATAGGGTATTCCTGCGTATAATAAGCTTGTGCATTTTTCCTTTCTTCTAGCATTTGAAGTTTCTTATTTAAAATAAGGCTAATAATCATTTATTCTAAATTAACATGATATAACACTTAAATTTGATTATTTACCAAAATGCCAAACTATATTAATATATTAAAGTGCCATTTACACAACTTCTATATAAATGTTGATTTGTTATCATATATTTTTGAACTTTTACATTAATGGTTTTTACTAATTGAGTAGTATATATGATACATGACATGTTTTTATTGCTAAATTCTCTCTTTATATTTAACCTTTGTCTTTTATTGAAATTAGGATGATCGTCCAAGGGGCTTTGCTCGAAACCTAGATCCTGAGAAAATCATTGGTGCCACTGACACAAATGGGGAGCTAATGTTTCTAATTAAATGGTATTTTTTATTTTAATTATACAATATGTTTGCATTTTAAATATTAAATAGTGTGCTTTTTTTATATTTTATAATTAAGTAATAATTTATTATTTTGTTTACTGGAAAGTAATATGGTATTCTTCTCTGGAATTCCCCCCCCCAGTTTAGCTGACAATTTTGTGCCATTTACCAGGGTTGCCACGCTACCTGGAAAACCGGAAGAACCTGAAAAAGTCAGGGAAGTTCATACAACGATCCCGCCAAAAAAAGCCTTTTTTGGTGAATTGTGTATCACGTGAGTGTCATTTAGGCAGCTGGCATAGAGCCAGTTTTTGCAGCTCCAATTTAATTGTCTTTTAGAAAGGCAAAGCAAGTTTCCGGCAACTTTTGGTTTCCAGTATTCTCGAGAATCGCATGTGCAGTGCATGAACTAAAGAAAGTACCTGTTCTTGTATAAAACAAAATGGGTTTAATCCTAGTATACGGTAACATGGAGGTTAGAATCAAAGATTGTGTATTGTAAAGAAGAGAAACTTCTCTGCAACAGACGTGGCTCTGTTCCATCATAGAGGGAAACAGCTGTGCATGCGTGATTTATCTGTCGCCAAAGCTCGAAACCGGTGTCGAAGTTCAAAGGTCACGTTATCAAGAGTTCATAAAATGAATATCGTTTAAAATTTCTTTAACCACTTTCGCTAAAAAAACATGCCACGCACGTCGGGATGCTTTTGTCTCAAACCGTGAGCGACGTGAACACCATGTCGATAAGCACTTATCGCAAAAATGAAAATAACGTGGTGCACACGTTGCTTAGCACCGAGATTTTGTATTTCTCAAGTTACAGCTCTGCATTGCACTCGCAGATGCGGAGCGACGTAAATGAAACACTTTACCGCTTGTTATATCGTAGCGCACGGCATTGCAACCGTGAAGTTTAGTCTTAACGCAAGTGGTTAAATTCTAAAGGAAAAGAAAATATTTTTTGGCGCAAGTAAATTATTTCATGGATTAGTTATTTTCAGCGCAAGTGGTTAAACTCTAAAGGAAAAGAAAATATTTTTTGGCGCAAGTAAATTAATTCATGGATTAGTTATTTTCAAGGGGGAAAAGTACGAAAATCCATTTTTAAAATTATTGCGAAAAATCCAAGAAGAAACGTCCTTTGATAAAACGTTTCTTCTTGGATTTTTCGCAATAATTTAAAAACGGATTTTCGTAGTTTTCGTTTTGTCAAAGAATGTTTATTTTTAACACGTGTTTCTCAATTTCCTGTACACATCGCGGAGAGGGAAATTCTGGCCGCCAGGTTCCGTCGACAAATCCCTTGGCAAATTTTCCCTTCGCATTCTAGCGGCATAATAGCATTTTACTTGTATGGAACCTTTTCTTTACATAGACGTTCTTTGTTTAGAATAATCTCAGTGTATGGTACAATAGGATTTGGCGACATGATGATGCGCAGTAATCGCTAATTTTATACTGACATACCCAAAACATTGTAAGTTGGAGCACCCAACAAAAGTAATACACTAATGTTAAATCTGTTTATTAATAATAAGATGATGCAACGATTAGGATAACATGACTGGCCTGTAGTGCCCATTGAGAGGTGAAGCAGGCGGGGTAATAATATGTATGTACGTTTGTATGTGTTTTCAGTATTAAAGTTTAATGAAAACAATTACTTTTAGGAAAGGGTGTGATGAAGCTGATCTTGTGCGTTCGAAAGAAGCTAATGTAAAATGTCCACAAATAGTTATAAAGTTTTATGAGGAACGACTTACATGGCACTCTGGAAATAGTTGTGAAGACGAAAAAGGAAGTGATAAGGATCAGTCTGCAGGCGGCAAGAAGTAATTCTGTGGATATTGTTTCAAATTTTTAAAAACGATTTTTTAATATTGCAGTTGACTTCATCATCATACTATCATTTTTTCTGTATTATTAGATGTGCAAAATTCTGATTAACTGTATGAAGTTTTATAGCATACGTTTGTTTTGAAAACTTTTCTTGTGGCACAATTTCAAAATTAGCCAAAGCTATTTTGTATTGTATGTAAAAGTAAAATGTCATCTTGTTTGTATATAGGCGCATCTTAATAATAAAAATGTTTGGATAATAAATATTGGAATCTGATTCATTGTCTATTTGAAAAAGACTTGTAAATAAATTTCATTGTTTTTAATTGAAATATAAGGACTAGTTAATGTTTGTTTAATGTGCATTAACGTAACTAATAAAGTATATATATTTATTCCTTCATTTAAATCGCACACTGTTTTCTTTTTCTGTAGTTTGTACTGAATTTATTTTATTTGGTATTGCATAAGCTTTTAAATAAGTGTATCTCTTCTATTTGGCCTATTGAAAAATTTTACTTTCATGTGTTAAAAGTACTACTTAGAATATATGTTAAATTTATATATACATTGTTAAAGCCCACTAGTGGCTGAGTAGTGAAGTTCTAAACACTAGTATTTCAGTTCCAGGTGAAAAGGCAGGTTGCATAAGCATTTTAATGGTTTTTGAAAGGCTAACATGGATATGATCCAGTTTGTTTAAAAATGACCTCCACAAAGTCATTCCTGTTAGTTTAGCATGGTGCTTTATACTTAACTTCTCAGTTTATTTTAACCAATTTCGTTTTCCCTCTCATACTACATGAACAAAAGAAATGGTTTCTTATTTCTTGTATATATTTTTTAATCATTATCATTATTAGGTTTTTCCCCTCATTATTTTATTCAAGTTATTTATTATAAGTATACATGTTTCAAGAATGTGATTTTATTTATTGAATATTTTGTGACCCATTATATGCCACGATATAATTTGAAAAGAAGTACAGTAATGCACAGTTAATGTTTTCATTGGGCCATCGAGAAAAGATGTATAATTCACATTTTAAGTTACAATATTAAATTTTTTAAATTGCAAGAATTGAACAGTACAGCCGAAGAAACTAAATTTTATGAAGATGAAAAAAAAATTATCTTTTAGTATACCTTTAGAAATCTAATAAATTTCATCTAATATAATATAACTTTATTGATTTTTTTGGGCATTTTGCAAATATATCTGCATTTATCCTTATGTATTAATTTGCTATATATCATACTTTTGAAACATTTGGTTTTTTCTAACATTCCTATGAATTCTGTTTTATCAATATTTGCTCAGCGTAAAATAGTTAAACATGATATTGAAAATCTTCAGAGACTGTTTTGAAGGCAGGAGACAGAAAAAGACTTAATTTCATCAACATTGGAAATGGGTTTACCTGATATCCATAAAACTTTGGATAAATTCTTGAATCTTCATTTAATTTGGCTGAGACATCTTTGGATTCTCTGTTTATGATATAATTTAAATTTATACTGCTCTTTAGTTTCACCTGTGATATTATTTCGTGTGTCTTTTCCATTAAAATGGGCTCATTCGCTGAAGCGTTTGATGCGCTGGACTGAGTGAAAAAAAAAACATGGTTTGAACAACCAGATATTTCACCTTGAACATATAACTTCTTTGAAGTGGATTTTCTGCAAATTATTACTCTTTCTTAAATTTCCTTCTTTTATAAATATATGTTTTTAATGTTGGCACAAGACTATTCAGTTTTTCCAACAATTATATTCGTATCAGATTCGAGCTGTATCTTTCAGGGAAATTTGCTGTTCGTTTTCTTGAAATTTCAGTTGCAAATTAAGTTAAAAAGTAAAGAACAAATAGTTAGTTGAACATTGTTTACACAAAGGATAGAGAAATAAAGCATCTCCCAAATTTTCTGATCAACAGGAATCCTGCATCCATGGAGATAAGAATAAAAGGATATGCCATTACCACACTATGCTTGATGCAGTGCTGCCGAGCTCTGTTAGAACTCCCACACATGACAGTTGCACACAAATCGAAAAGTGGAGTCACCTCCACACCAAAGAAACATTCGTTGTTGACTAGGTAAAAGCAATTGTATAGTTTAACCCGGCGGAAGATGCACCAAAAGTTACTAGAGTGGTTTGGTTGCGTGGGGTATCACATACCCCAATATTTAAAATACGATAAAAATAGTCTTATTTAGTTTTAAACTGTTTTTCTTGTTCTTGTGTATTATAAATACGTGAATAATATTGGGTTGCAAAAAAATAATTTCCAAAATAATCTTAGAGTTAAAATTAAGATAAATGAAAAAAATAAACATGTCTTCAAGTTTCATTTCATCTTTAATGCACAATGCTTATTTTATTTCTTTACACTTTGAACAAAATACATTCATGTGTTCTTGGCAGAGAATGTTTTCACATTTTAAATGTTGCATTTACGTTCTTCTGTCCTTGGCACAAGGGCAGTTTATCACATCTTTCATACTTAGTTGTTTCGAATTTCATGTATTCGTTTTAATTCTTCGTCGAAACTTTGCTTTTGTTTTGCAAGCATTACGTCAGTTTCTTGGTAAAGTATTAATCTCTGATCTTTTTTTTTTTTTTCATTGATTGTAAGGCTATGTCCTTCAAAAAGAGACTTCTGTTTCTGGTTGGTGGATTAGCAATTGAATGTAATAGAATTCAAGCATTTATTACAGCAACATTCAGTGCAGGAAAGAAAATTACCATTGGCCACCCCCTTTTTATTCTGGCAATTGAATAGATGGCTGACATTTCATCCATCCCCCATATCCACTGCTTCTTTAGTCATATTATAAAAACATTTAATTCCTGACGTTTTATTTTCTCCAATAGCATCATCCATAGTATGATCGTTATATAATGTTGAAAGCATAAGAACAGTTTTTCCTTTTTTAGGAACATCAGGAATTAATGTTTTCTTTTTCGAAACCAAAACAGTGTAGAAAATATTCCTAGTTTCATCTTTAGTTTCCGAAATGCAATCTTCATCGCTTTCAAATATTTCTAACAAATCTCACATGTGTTGCATCTCCAGTTCATAGGGAGTCATTCCTTTTACCATAATGCAGTTAGAAATTTTTAAGAATTTAATGTCAAGTACTTTAAAATCAGTGCGAGTAGAAATATTTACTGTTACACTCTATAAATAAATTTCTAAACTAAATATTCATTCAGAAAAACACGCGGACAGGCGCGTGGGGGTGTGTCATACCTCAGTTCCAACAAAATACCGATAAATATTTTTCTGAAACACACAGGCAAAGAAAAAGCTGTTCTGAACGTCAACCACAACTAGAAACTCAGCTACTGAATGCAGCATAGAATTTTAGTTTCACAAGTTAAAAATATTCCACTTTTATGTAGGGGTGAGATATAATACACCCCATGTGCTTTCCTGCGGGTTAATGACATTTATGACAAAATCGCATCTTTGTTATTTTTTGATAACTTACAACAGCAATTTTGAATATGAAATTCTCTAATATATTTCCAAAAATATTGTAAATAATTCAGCATTTATGCATCAGTCGTATACAAAACTTGTATTTAATGGTCAGTGATTAACAGAGTTCTCTCATATCTAAAATTTTATTTAGCAACCTATTTAATTGATGACTAAATGTAATGCAAAGTTATGAATGAAAAAGCTGTTATTCAATACATATATTGTGGAATGAAACAAAACCATTATTGGAGTTGCCAACTCTCCTGATTTCCAACCTTTCTCCTGCCAGCCTGACTTAACCTTTTACAGGCCAATGTTCCATAAATGGAACATCGTATTTAAAATTTCATAACAAACACAATTTTATTAATATTGCTTTGTATAAATTATTACATGGAGAGTAAATATGGATTGATGTTTTAGTAACAATATAATTCTTCTAAAAGAAAAATTTTCTTGATTTAAAAAAAATCACTATTTTACCTTTTTTCCTTCTTTTTCTAAGAGCAAAATTCAAAAATTCATATAAAATTAAAAATTCAACAAATGTTTTTAAAACTAATGAAGATATTTATAAAGGATCATTTTATGCACAGATAGTAAGTTAATCATAGAAAGATTATAATTATTTTTTACTATAAAGAAAGAAATGTAGATGTTCCAGAAAAGGAACATTGGCGTGTAAAGGTATATTTTTTAATATGATGAAATTACTTTGATTGCTGTGAAGAGAGAGAGGCACGAAGAAAGATTTTCCAAATGTGAAAAGTTCCAGTAAGTGTGAAAAACAGATGTTTATGACTGTTAATCTGTTTTCGACTCCCGTATATCCCCCTCCTCTCCTTTCACGCATTCCCATAAGGGTTTGAAGCGAGTTACTCACAGTTGCTAGAGAAAAGCACGTGGCGTTTCTTGATATGCTAGACGCAAGAGGTTGTTTATGACTCTGTGAAAAAGGCATATAATTTGGAGTGGATTTCGTTATTTTCCAGTTGTATTCATTCGATCCTCAAGAACCTTCATCTTCAAAGGGAAGGAAGAATTTGAAGCGAAAACTAAATGCGAAAGAGAAAAACATTGAACATCGGTGGGGGAAAAATTTAAATCTTAACAAAATTCTAAAACCTGGCAGCATTGAAAATATTTGTGAAGTGTTTTCTGAATTAGTTACTTTATCTCCAATTGAGATTTTTCACAAGTTCCCAACTAGAGAATATTTGCTGCATTTAGCAAATATGACAGGTCTTTACGCAATGCAGAAAGAAGTTTTAGCTGTATATGAAAACGATATTGGACAATTTTTTGGATTACTGTTGTTTGGTGGTTATCAAGGAGTACCCGGCGAAGATTTATACTGGAGCACTCAAGAGGATTTATCTGTCCCAGTAGTTTCTTGTGTAATGCCAAGAAATAGATTTCGAAAACTAAAAAAATATTTTCATATTGTAGATAATACCAACTTGGCATTAGGAGATGAAACGGGAAAAGTTTCTCCTTTTTATGAAGAACTGGAAAAAAAAAACACTTTCAATAGTTCAGTATCTTCCATTCCTTGCAGTGTGAATTTTTGTATGGAGATTATTTGTTACATACTTCTATAACTCTTTTCCTTGTTTCAGTATAAACTGCTAACAATTAATGTAAAATTCTTGCTTATCAACTATAATTTCTGTTTTAATTTAATATGAAAGCTTTTTTATGTGGGAGCTTCATATCTTCTCCTAAGAAATTTTGGTGGAGTAGATTTGCGGTTATAAAGGTGTAGGCTCCCTATTT